GAGAGAGAGAGAGAGTATCTCGACCTAAACAAAACATATACCGGAATGGGAAATCGTGACATCTGGGGACCAAAAGTCAGCTTGTACCCCATGGCGTCTTGTTGTTTGTTCTTTCTATCTTCGTTTCCAACAGTCTGTTTACTCCTGGGAGCTGCAGCTTTGACACACTTCAAAGGTTTTCCAACTCCTTCTGTTCCCAATGTCTTCCTTTGCACACATCTCGCAGCTCAGCCTCCTCGTCCAGTCTGACCCTTTCCGATGCAAAGCTGGTGCCCAACGGCATCTCCAATGATCTCTTACTCCCATGACCTAGATCAGCGCGCTTGGTACATGGTGCGGAAGCTGCAGTGTATCCTTCTCTCTTGGGCCAGGGACACCCACAGTCTGGGCATGAATCACACGAGGTGGGTGGTTAGTAGTGTGGCCGGTCCTCCTCGAGGTCGCTACCGCTACCTCTGCGACGACCTTGAGCTTCTTCTTAGACTTCCTTTCAGGTGCAGTTGTCAGCCAATGAATGACAACGGTCGCCCAGGTCACTGTTGAATTATGTGTTAGCTTACGAGTAGTGACATCTCTTACTCCAGTCATCTCAGAGGTGGTATAGCCGAGAGGCTCTGAAGTCAGCATACCATCAAGTGTACCAAATGTAAAGAAGAACCATGCCTGTTCTCGTTCAGCGTAGTACAGCAAAACTGAGACATTAGCCACCGTCGACGCCAGAACAGCAATACATCCCCACTACACGAGCAGAAGTCAGCATTGCTCGGTAGTCAGAATACCGGAAGTCATACTCTCGAAGTGAGAGCCGTTATCACGTACGAATGCTTTGCGAATGACTCCAACCAACGCACCCTGCGAAATAGCAACGGTCTCTCTTTCTTTGAAGGTGTCGACGTTGCAGAAGGTCAATTTCGTCACGAGCGATCGCAAGGCTGGGTAGACAAAGGTGGTTTTCATTCCCTTGACCATGTATGGCTTGCAACGCCGAAGGAAGACCGTCGTGAGGAAGATATTGATGGACACATCCCAGCCCAAAAAGACTGACGTGATCGTCCTTGGTATGCCAATCTGACATGTTCCGATCGTGCTGTTGAATGTAGCGATGCGGAAAACTAGTGCTGTGATCCCAATCAGGCCAAATCCAAGAAACACGAGAATATGCCCTGCGAGAAATGAGTAGTCCTTGAGCCGGCTCCGTCAGTTCGCCTGGACGCTATGGGTACGCTCCACCAAGAACACGTATAAGGAATATTTCTGTCCCAAGTAGAACAAGAGGCCAATAATGATCGCTGCTTGACAGGAATGTGCGTCGTAGATCCCGTGGCCGAAGTACAGAACACACTGCCATGTGTTGCAGTCAGCTTCGATCAGTCACTATGGAACTTGGAGCCAAGCTAGCTGTATAGGTGTGGATTCTACCTCATGCAGTATACTACTTCACTAGCGGGGTGCCATGTTCCCAAAGATCCTTACCGTACTAACACAGAAGAGGCTTCCAATGAGATATGTGTGCAACACGATGAAATGAGTAGCGGACAGTTTGATCAGTGCATACGAATCTTTCATAGAGGTAATGCGTACAGCTGTGGCTTCTGATCAGCAAGAGTTCTCCTCGGGGCTTTCGATGCCTCCTCCGGGTACGGGCAGTTTGACCAAAGAAGGTGGCTCACCCCAACAAGCATTTGTGGTGATAATTCCTCCCAGTGCAACTATGATGTATACCATATGACCAACTTGGAACCTGGGGTAGGCGGAGTCGTATGGGATTCCATCTTGTTCCGCTGTGCCGTTTGAAGTGGCGTTGAGCAAGGACGCTCGTCGCAGAGGAGCAAGAACCATTTCAAAGCTCGTCGAATTCGATCGGCGCATGTATCAGCTGTATAAGCATGTTGGAAGGGATATTTTGAGGAGGTAGCTAGCGAGTGGACATGGGATCGAAGGGAATAGCACAAAGGCTGAGGTAGATGTGTGTAATAGGGAGGGCGGAGAGGGGAGTAGAAATGTTTGATATTGCATCCTGTGATCGAAATTATTTCCCTATAGACAATATATTTTCTCATCTCAATGCTTAGAGCGCGGTGGAGTGCTGGCTACGAGGAAGCTGCGACCGGACATGTACTTTGATAAATTAGAAGGAAGGCTAGATGGCGTGTGACGTCTGGTCCCAAAACAAGTTGGGAGAACCGTGAGCAAAAACTCATGAGGCTGATATGAGATGCCCGAGCGAGAGTGATATTCGAAAGTAATTTACGGGAGATGGTCAGGTTTCCTGAGTCCGACTGGGGGGGGCTTATCGTCGGCACTAATACCCATTTGGCATCAGCAGAGGACATGGAAAATTAATGAAGGCACGTCGGGCGGGGGTGGGTGAGGTTGAGCAAACTATCGTGGTGTTGAGGAGACAGGTGCGAGTTGCGGGCTGCGCATCAAAACAAACTCCGCGACTTAAGCGAGAGAGAAAGGTGCGGAAGGGCAACACATCAGTCTGGAACCGATATCATGCTTCGCTCTGGGCCACTTCGAGCGAGTCAAATATATAACGGTTTTGAAAAGTGCTGCAAGTTTGTTTGCAGCATTGGATCGTAGGAGGGAAACACTCGCAATAGCAGACGAAAGTCCTGCTGGTGGACAAAACAGTTTAAGCCTACAAGTCGGCGAGTGCATCGATTCATTGTTTAACCTTAGTTTCGTGATCAGAAATCTCAGCTGTGCCTCGACTATCTGTGATTGGGATAAGTACAGTGCTGGCTTGCCAGAGATGCTGAGACCAAAGCACACAGATCCTCCGGAAGGCACAAGAGGTCCATGTCCCATAATGTTCAATCTGCATGACATGGCCCGCTCGTCAGTCGGACTGAATATAGCAATGTCTCCGCAAGAGTTCCGAATGCTCGAATCTTCCGAGTCCTGATGATTATCAACGACCAGCGCAGCCTCTTACCCAGCAGAGGCCAACGACTCCATTCCTGTATCTGTAGTCCAAGTCCAAGAAGCAGGTTGTCTTCACGTAGTACGTACTTAAAACCAACCTCCAAAACCATCGTCTATCCTGCTCCTTACTATACTGTTGTAACCGATTCAGCTGCATACAACGAGCCAGTATCTATTATTTTCTCTTGCTCTCAGACTCGCCGTCCAAAGTAAACCAACAGAGATGTTTCCCAGACGAAGATAATTTCAAGTAAGCCGTAGGATAGCAGGTCACTCACATCCCCTCCCCTTAAGAATCACATTTAAATGTCAAATACGATACATCATCCAGCTTTTCAAATCTCCAGAACCAAAGCTCAAACCCTACCCCCACAAGAAAGGATTCACCACGTTCGCCAGCCCGTATCCACGCACCACTACCACCACCACACTCCTCCTCGTCCTCCTCCTCCTCGTCCTCCTCCTCCCCCTCCCCCTCTTCTTATTCCTACCCAAAAGCTTTCCTTTCCAACCAAATAATCAGACAAACAAACCACAAAATCCCAACCCCTGCCTCGAAAACCGATCCCCTCCCTCCCCCCTCCCCTCGCTACCCAAATATTTCTCTTTTCCCCTCCTTTCCTCTCCTAAAGAAAAACCTATACTTCTTCCTCCTGCCACTGATCCGTCAAAAAAAAAAGATAAAAGTAATGACGCATAAAAGAAAGAAAACATAAAGATGTAAAAATATCCACCATCACCACCAAAAACACAGAAATATAAAGATCACACACAGAAAAAGAAAAAAAAAACGCCTTGCTTCTCTCGCATCGCGTCGTAAATAAAAAGAGAAGAGGGGAGAGAAGGAAAAGCCCCGGGATTGATTTTGCTGTTTTGTGGTTTTGATTTTTTTAGTGTTGATGATGTTGATGTTGAGCTCGCTTGCCTCGCTTATCTATTTGGGGGGTTGAAAGCGAGAGCGATGGAAGGAAGGAGTCTGCCTGCCTACGCCTGACATGTCTGTCTATCTTTCTTTCTTGATATCAGCAGTATCAGCATCGGCATCAGCGGCATCGGCATCAGCACCAATCAAGCAAGCAAGCAATCGGGAAGAAACCACAAAGTATTTACCATGAACTTTCGTCCTCACCAGTCGGGCAATACGGTCTTCTTGGCCGGGTAGGATAGTCAGATAGATAGATACCCATTCATTCATTCATTCATTCATCCATCCATCCGCTCATCCATTCATCCATCCATCCACTCATCTAATCTACGAAGAAAAAACTTCCAACTTTCAATTTCCAATCTCCAACTTCTAACCAATCTTTATTTATCCTGTATTGTATTATTATCATCATCATCATCATCACAAACTCCCACACCATCACTTACTCACTTACTTCCGTCAAAAGGAAAGGGAGGGAGACTCACAGCAATCAATCGCCACAAGAGCCCAACGCAGAGAGAGTATTCAATTTGAAGTTCTTTCTTCTTCTTCTCTTCCATCACATTACATTACATTACATAAACAAACACAGTCCATGACTTGACTCCAGAGGTCAATCCATCTCGTCAGCCCTCTTGCTATTTTTTTCCTTTATATTTAGGTTTTCCAAAATTCCCCCATTTTTCATTTTTGGAGATCAAATCCATCGAACCAATCGATCGCATCAATCATCACCTAAACTGACATGACACGAGAAAGACCGAGGTAAACCCCCCATTGCATTATATATATATATATATATATATATATCAAAGGCCGCGAAATTTCGCCCCGCTAAAAACAGACAAAGGTAGATGAGGTGTTTGTGTAACAAAAATTCCATACGAGAACGCCCCCGCTCCCGCTCCCCTCATCATTGTTGGTATCATGTAGAACGAAGCCGCCCCGCAAACCCTCCCTCCCACCCCCTCCTTCTTCTGCAAAAATGACATAGGAAAAAAAATAGGTGTCGTCAGTGATCCAGGCCAGGCTGGACGCCGCCACGCCCCAGCGTGATCTGGCTCAGGCTCAGCGTCCGCGGTGCGGTTTTCCCGTCGTCGGCATTGCTGCGGACGGCGGCGGCGGCCCCAAAAATCTCGTCGCCGTACGGGTTCCGCTCTTCGGTCGGGGTCCGGAATACGTCGTCGTCGTCGGGGTGGGGGCGTTCGTCGTAAGGGCCGTCGTCGCTGCTGTCATCCTGCTCGGAGCTGGAGAAGTGGCGACCATCGGCGGTAGTCTCGCGCTGGCGGCGAGGATTCCTGACAGCGCCCGAATCTGATCCGGGGGGTTGGGGGGTGGAGCTTGACGAGAGCACCACTTGGAGTTGTCGTTGGAGACTGAGGACCACGGCCTCGAGTTGCAGCCGCGCTGCCTGCTCGACGAGAATCATGTTTGTTAGAGCGTTGAAGTGCTCACCTGTCAGTGGACAATTATCGGGCATGGTGGGAGGAGGGGAAACGATTCCTCGAATGGTCGGTGATCTGGAAATCGGACGTGCGGTGGGTTGTCCCGTAGCAAGCAAGGCTACCGGTGGAAATGCGTCAAAATCGGGACGCGGAGAAGTATGCGTGGACACCGTTGAAGGAAGACTACTTCCATATGAGGAAGACCGTTTCCGACTGCCTTGTCTGCTACCACGAAGATCTCCTCGAGCTTGCGATTCGCTATGTCGTGGATGCTTCGGCAGCGACAAATCCGATGTTTGGATTGCTGGCTGAGGTTGTGGGGGGTCCCGGGCACGGCAATTTCTCTTGGGAGGGTCTTGGAGCTGGACAGGCCCATCATGACCTACCCGGTAAACCATTCTCTCTAGCCTGGTCATGCGATCTTCTAGGAGCTGGAATTTTGTTTCCAAACTTGCCGCTTGAGTAATTTTCATACCCGCCATTTCACCCATGGGCCCGAAGCTGAAAGGCTGCGGCTTCTCTTCCGTTTCCTCTTCAATTGGATATTCTTCTTCGAGTGGTGTAGGCTCCTCCGTTTCTGCCTTGTTCGATGACATAGGAGACAGCGGTCCTGTAGGATCATAACTCTCTCGCCAGTACTTGATCTCATCGCTGCGCCGTCTGGAAACAACATTCGCTCTGGCGGCTTCCTGAAGCTCGCTCACACTTCTCGAACGTCTATGGGGCTGACTACTGATAGTAACAGCCACGTCAATCGCCGACTTGGCTTCATCATCCGAAATGAGTTTACTATAGCGAGGATGGCTACTGGCAGGCCTGGGCGAAAGTCCCGTGAAGTCCTGCGCGTATCCCGGTACTCTATTGGGCGACCAAGGACGGCTTGGTGTCGTAGCCCTCCGCGGCCGATTTTGTATGTCCTCCTCCTGTGTAGAATCGCGATTTGTGTCATTTGAAGGCTCAATATGCTGGAGAGTCTCAATATTCTGGAGAGTCTCAATATGCTGGAAAGGTAAGTCCTCTGCTACAATCGAATGAGAGCGAAGTGCCCGGTTGAACTCGTCAATAGGTAGGGAAGTAGAACGTATTTGATGGGTTACTGGCCCTTGAGTAGTCCTGTGTAAAGGAGTAGGGTCCTTTGCCGTAAGTCAGTATGTGCAAAGCTATCGCTACTTGGGACAAGGGTAGCTTACGCTGCGATGCTGCTCTGTCCGGACAATACTTGAGCCTCGATCCACTTCGCTTGGGGTCGGGCTGATTTTTTGTTTCTTTCCAAAAATCCGCCCGAATACAGATCGCATGGAGGTCTTTTTCCGTTGCGGTTTCTCGGTGCTTGCAGAATGCGGCACGCTCGTTACAGAATTCCTCAGCCTGCTGGGTTGATTGGGCTTATGACCTTGAGTCGCCCGCCTGATTTGCGCTTCATGCGGAGGAGATGGAGCCTCCCTGGGCGGGGTAAACTCACTGACAGCATTTCCGTTCGGAGGAGAAGTCTTATCAGGCTCGTTGGTTGCTGGTGTCGAAGCCCTCAGCCTCTCGATCCCTTCCGCGTCCAAAGGAAGTGCTATCCCAGTGCCTGGGGCCCTGATGGGGAACTCGTCGTCGTCCGGGAAAGGGATCGGTTGCGAGATGGTCTTGCCTCGGACTGAGGATCCCGTATTCGTGCGCGCCGGCTCCTCTCTCCTTTTTCCAGCCGCTCGGAGTTTGCTCATGGTAGAGACTGGTGATGAGACTGGGGCAGAGGCAGAGGCTGAGGCAGAGGCTGAGGCAGAGGCTGAGGATAGGTCCCTCGTAATTCAGGAGCGACAGGCCATCGACATATAATAGAATTGCTGGTCGTACATTTGCTGGCCGGTCCTGAAGGACTTAAGGAATGTTGAATAGTACCTGATAGGGTAAAATTAATGCAAGGTGATGTTGTCGCATCTCATTTCGTCGCATATATTGAAGTATTGCCGCGCTATTCCCTTGCCCCATGGGGAGGAAGGAGGAGGAGAAGAGGGAGAAATGTGTGTGAAATCATTGCCTTGCTCATGCTCATGCATAGCGGATCGGACGCATCAAGTAATGCTGTGAGGCCTGTCAGCGATTGACAAGGACACTCCAATGAAACCATCTCGACCAGAGTCTAAAAGATTAAAACGGGCGGGAGACGCAGAATCGGGTATCCCTCTCCGTGAGCCGCGTCAAGTACCCTTACTACGGATATAGAGTAAATACTAGTTTTACTAGTATCTCTTTCGGCTTCTTGGTAGTTTTACTTACCCTTCTTACCTTTCTTACCTATCTGGCCCTTTCTTGCCAATGGCTTTTCTGACCCACGATCCACGAAAGAAGTGCAGGCAGGCACAGCAAATGAGACGATACCGGTACTTCGTAGTGGATTTAGGATGCCAGGGGGTGGCTTGGTGAGCGCGCCTCGGACGCTTGGCTCCATCACCCATCACCCATTCACCCATTCACCCATTCACCCAGAGCCAGAGCTGCCATCCGAAACCAGGAGCATTGTGCAATCTGGTCTGGAGTTTTGGTATTTTCGTCTGATATTCTCGCATTCCCGCTGTGCGCAATCAAGATCGCGCGTCTCCAACAAACGAATTGAACAAAGCATTGATCGCCAGAAAATTCGTTCCCGCAATACAGTATAGATTGTATTAATACATCCGATTAACCGTCGCTCAACGGCTTCACATCTTTTTTTTTCCTTTTTCTATTTTCATGGGCATGCCGAGAGAGAGCAGCCCGCTCGAACACATGGCACAGCACGGCCTTGCATCAGTGCGCGCGAAGTGGCTTGATAACCCACATCTTGCATGGATGAATAATAGATCCCAACACGCGAACGGTACGCCGTGGCCCCTGACGACATGGGCTCGGAGCAGAAGCCCTGTTGCTCTTGTGCCGCGCACATATCCAACATTGGTTGTACGGAGTATCGAGGATAAGTCCATTGTATTCTCCTCGGAGGCATGAAAACGACAACGTAAACGAAATTGGGCACAGCCGGAGAAGAACCGCGTGGGTAGGGACTGACACTCTGCTGATCGGGCGTCGTCATAGCAGGCAACAACGGAATGTTGAGACTTGAAAATAGATAGCCTTCTCCCTTCGCGGCGGATCTCTTAAGCGAAATGGGCCTAGGGGTTGTCGATAAAGGGATTGATTCATGGATGACAAGCACTCGCTTCCGCCACACGTTCATGCATGTAACTGACTCAAGTTCCGCCCAGTCTTCCGTATATGAGATGAATTAATGCCGGAAGTGCTCTCCCATTCCAATCAGTCCAAAGACTCCTCTGCGACAAAGCCCTCCATCGCGACTCTGGAGAGAATGCTTCGAAGGCTTCGAAGGGCCACTGCATAAATCAATCCAGGTCCGCGCTATCCCCTTATTTTTCTTAGGCTCTCTCCTAAAACATTTCGGCTGCAACCCGTGCTCGTTACTCGTCTGTGCCCGGAACTCATTGTGTATTGAGGTCCGCGGCCGAGGGGTAGCGGAGATCTGAGTGTTCCTCGAGAAACTCCATCCATCGTTTGAGGAATTTGTTGCCCCTAGCAAGATCACACATATAATTTTAGCACCCCGCCTCATCTACGAACAGGAGTGTGGGCAGCTGGGACTCACTGTAGCGTTTCGGAATCGCCAATCACCACGAGTGAACGCTTCGGCCTCGTCATAGCGACTGTTCGGTTCAGCCTCTTGTTCTCGGGGAAATAAATGCTCTGACAACTCTTACCGTTCAGTCTGCGTTTCTCACCTAGGAATCCCACCTCCTTGTCTGAATTGCTTCTGACGAGGCTGACGATGACGGCCTCCTTCTCCCTTCCCTGAAATCCGTCTACACTGCCCAATTCAATGCCTGGAAAAGCCTCCTTGATCGAGCTCTTAATTAGTGCAAGCTAAGAATCATTAGCGTGTTGCCATTCCACCCATCAGTACCACTCAGACGAGGGAGTTGGGGATAGTAATCTATCATGCTCTGAATTTCGGCTTACTCGTCGGTTCCCAAATTATTACTTTTAGAAAAAACCCAATCTGGCGCAGCCAGATTGGTACTTTTCAATTTTTCAGGAGCCGACGAGTAATGCTCAAATGTGATCTGAGATAGACGCTTCGGGGCATTACTTCTTGACCAGGAAGAAGATCCAAAGAGCAACATTTGCCAATTAGGGGTTGGTGTCCACTAATCGAGCATCGATGCATTCTTGGTTTTCATTCCCAAAATAGCTGTTAGGAGGTAACCCATCACAATATCCCAATAATACCGGGCGCCTGGCTTCCATGTCGACATGGTACGCAATAGCTAAGCGCTTAATCTGCAACTTCGATCTTCTTGTTCTGCATTTGAGTTTTCCCAACATAGAACCCAGAACTTGCAGCAGGTCAAGGAAATTGTAAAGATACGCGAAGGACAATCGGGAGATCTTACCTGGGCATTATAGGGCGTGATGACGGCGATATCTTCAGGCTCGACACCAGCATCGACCAAGCTCTGGACATGCTGCCTCACCAGCGCTGCCTCCATCTCATTGCTCTTGCTGTCGCCCATCATGCCCTTCCCGGCCTTCTTATCGACCTCCTCCTCTTCGTTCTTCTCGGGGAAGTCGCCGCCTTGAGTGTCGTAGAATATCAAAGGCTTAGTTGTGTCCTCAGTCTCCGCTACCTCGTAAGGCAGTTCCTTCAAAATCCGGGTTTTCACCCCATCAGCTGCAATGAGCTTTGACTCGTATAATTCATCCGATGGAAATCTCATGATTTTTTCGTGCATGCGATACTGCGTCGTGAGCATCCTCTTGATCGCGGGACCATGGAGAGCAAGTAGCCGATCGAACAGAGTAGTCTCCAGAGTCATACCCTTGATGATACCCTCTGTTTCCACCGCCTTGGACTTTTTGGTCTTCGAGTTCAGCGTCTTGATCGTTGGCGGCAGCTGGAGATGATCACCGGCAAGCACGACCTTGCTGGCCCTGAGAAGAGGAACCCAGCATTGTGCCTCCAGAGCCTGACTCGCCTCGTCTATGATGACCACGTCAAAGACTTCGTCCTTCGTTTGAAACCCTCCGGCGCCGTGCAAAGTTGCAAGTACAACTTTGCTTCCCTTGATAAGACTTCCAATGCACTTCCTTTCTCTTTCCCTGAATTCTTTGCGAAGTTCCTTCAAGTCGCCATAGATCGCCTTACGCTCTCGACCACTTTTCGTCTTCTTTATCGAGGCTTGCTTCGTGTCCATCTCCTTTCGGACATCCTTGACAATCGCAGCAGCCTCCGAAGTTTGCGTAAGGACATCCAGAGAGTGATTGAGTACAGAAGGTAAAAGTCGCGCTAGGCGATGCGAAAATTAGTAAATGCTGTAATATACATACCCTGAAAGCTTAACACCGTCGAAATAAGCAACCCCTCTTACCTGGATGTCCAAGTCGGACAATAGGGATCTTGTGCGGAGCCAGACGTTCGACTATGTTGTCAACTGAGATGTTTGAAGGTCCGCATACCAGAACCCGCAAGTTCTGCTTCAACATTTGCAATATCAACTCAATCAATGTATGGGTTTTGCCAGTCTGTAACTGCCTTAGCCATAGCTCAGATTCAAAGTGACCAGTGGAAGAGTCACATACCCCGGGAGGACCATGAATAAGAGCAACCTCTCTCGAAGCCAAAGCAAAACGAATAGCGTCCTTCTGTGAGTCGTTGAGACTAGGATCAATCCACTCCAGCCTGCCTCTATCGCCCCCACTCAAGTCTCCAGAAACGGGCGACGGGCTACCCAGCCCAAACAGAACCTGCACGAAACCGGAATACTCGTCGGGCTTCATCTTCAGCAGCAAGTTCAAAGTCTGGTTCATCCTAAGCACCCCATCAGCAAAGCTCGAGAAGGGACAGACACCGCAGTAAGCTAGAAAACGAGAGAGGAGAGGCACAGAAAAGCGAGCTTTCGCAGACTTGCCGTTTGTAAGTAACGTCGTTCGCCAGCTTGACAATCCACATCCTCTTCGCACCGGGCACGTCGTCCTCCTCTCCATCAAGCGCCACCCAGACAGCCCCCCGCGTGACCTTGGTGATCACGCCCCTCGCCCCCTTCTCCTCCATCTCCCGCACCTCCCTCTTCTTCGCGCTCCCAGCCGGCTGCTCGCTCACCACAACGATATCCCCCGTGCGGATCCCGTGCTCGGGAAGCTCGCCATCGCCATCCTTGCTCTTCTTGCTCGCCGTCGCCGAGTCCGGGGACAGCTCGACGACCGTCTTGCCTCCGAGACCGGTTCGGAGAGAGGAGAGCACGAGGTTCGTGATGGCGATGCCAGCCCGTTGGAGGGATGCTGGGGAGGTGTTTGTGATGAGTGATGAGGTCTCTGAGAGCTCAGATTGGAGTTCTGCGTCTAGGAGCGCGAGCTGCGTGGTGCAGAATGAAGAGATATCAACTGCATCTTTGGGCGCCATGATGGGTTTCTCGTCTCGTAGGTTTGGAAGGTGGACATGAGGGGTGTTACTGAGGTGGTTTTGAGGTTGGTGGGAAGCGAGCTTGTCGATTCTCATAGGCACTGACTATTAGATCACAAAAGAAGACTAAATACAGATTAAAGTCCTCAACATCTCAACATGGTTTTATGTTCACTCCACCGAGTGCAAGCTATGTCTTCAAGTATCCTCTTTGGTATACATGGTTCGAGGAGAAAATTATTCAGGCAGATTTTCCCCAATGCTGACTACCCCTCCCAACCTGTCCCCAGTCATAATGCCACGGTATGTATATAACCTCTTATACAATCCTATATAATTCTCCCAGCCTCCCTCCCCTCACTTCTCAAAAGCCCTCGGATCCACCACTACCACCACGATCAAACTTGTGGACATCAACGCAAACGAAATAAATGCAACCAGTGCGATGCTCCCTCGACTCGCCGGGAACTTCCCCTGCATGATCCAATGCTGCGACTCATAGTAGCGGTGGAAGCCCACGAACAGCATCAAGATACTGATAGCCAGAAAGGTCGCCCCAAGCGGCTTGCCTGTCTGCCGCAGATGTCGAAACGGGTCGCTGTCTCCGCTGGGCGCAGACGTGGTACTCAGGCGGAAGATCTGCGTGATAGCTATGCCAATGGAAGCAAAAGCCAGGGAAGTCCGAAGCCAGGCAAGAAAGGTCCGCTCTGGAGAAGCCAGCTCGTTAGCAACCATACGGGGATGAACAAAACACAACTTAAAATACCGCGCGTTGCCTCTTTTTTTTTTTACTTTTTGGGAAAGCCTTCTTACCTAGAGCCAGATGGTCTCGAGCCACGCTCCCCTTATTCTCCAGCTCGATAGACCCGTACTTCGACATCGTCCTCGCCCACCAAGACTCCCTCTCCTCCTCCTCCTCCTCCCCCTCTTCTTCAACCCCATCCCCATTCCCGTTTGCCCGCGCGCATCTCTCCCGCGTCGAACTCGCCCTACTGCTGCTCTGCTCCCGCAACCCCGTCCGCGCCGTCTGCGTCGTGCCCTGATAATCCACACTCGTCTTCTGCCCACCACCACCACCCCTCCACAAGATCCCCGTCTCCTCACCCGCAGTGCTCTCCGCTGTCTCCGCGCGGTGCCTATCCGTCCCCGTTCCCGTTCCCGTTCCGTTCCCAGTTCCGGGAGCCATCGTCGTCGTCCCAGGTTTGTTGTGCGCAGCAGCAGAAGATTCCATGGTCGCTTTCCGGCTCCGGGCTGTGTCGAAGATGCTAAAGATCCGGTCCCTCGCACTCCTCGACACTGGGCTGCTGCCGCTGCTGCTGCTGCTGCTGTCGCACACTCTCGGCGTCATGCTGGGAGAAGATAGGCAGGGGAGACCCTGCTTGAGCTGGGGATGCTACAGTACTAGTCAGAATAGATCCAGAGGATCAGCGAATCTTATCTTCTATCTTCCGGAGTAAGTATATCCCGCGATTCTTTCCGGAGAATTTGACGACTCTCACCTGAAGAGCACCAAAAACCGATTCTCCAAACCGATGAACACAATTTTTGATTTGCAATCAAATCATATGATGCAATCGCAGGCCTAGGGACCTCACTTATGAATCGATTGCGCTACGTAGGTACTCGGGCTGCAAATCTTAGGAAGCTGCTAGTCGTCGGCTCGCTTAAGTACCACGGTACAGGAGTAATTGTTACACCCTTGAGGGTCCCTCAAAAGTTTAGATTTCCACTTCAAAGCCTCTGGTTACCCTAGCCTCCAGGCTATAACAATTACGCCTGCGACGTACCACAGTACAGGCCTAAGTACTACGTATTACCCCTCGAGGATAGATTCTCGCTGTTTCTATGAGCTTTTATTTTGATTTACCTGGCTGTGTACCACCCTTCCGCCGCGATTACGTCCAAACAACGCTGTCTTGTAATTCCTACTGATGCAACAATTTTATCTTTTTCGATCGAATCCCACGCTTCTTAAACAACTACCGGCATTCTTAATCGAAGATAGCTTTAATAAACTTTAAGATATTTTTCTTAAATGTAATCCTTTATCCCAAACCAAATCGTTTCGATCGGGTCAAGATCGAAAGATAAAGCTGGAAAAGAAAAGGTAAGAAAAAGCAGCGTTAAAATACCTATCAATTGAAATTTAAACCTATTCGATACCGCTTTTGCTATATTCCCGATCCAACAAGACGCTTCTCCGATCTGCTTCGACCCTTTCGAAAATAATATTTCCCTTGGTAAAAACCCCTCTTTCGTATCCTCGAGGGGTAATGCTTACGCCTGGGACGTAGTAGTATCTAGGCCTCCTTACCTCATCTTACTGTAAGGCCATTACGTCCAATAGCGGTGACGGAAAAAAAAATCAGAAGTAAGTTGAGCGAGTCTTTCGCCTTCCTCCCTTCCTTTCTCCCTCTTACTATCCCCCCCCCTCTATATAAAAGGCGAAAAGAATATTTTTACTAGGGGTTGACCAGGGGGTTGTAACCTTAACGCTTGGGAAGCAGTTCCTCAAGAATTCATTATTTCTTTATATAATTCGTGGTCAAATCGATACCAAGCAATGTTGTTGTTGTTGTTGTTGTTGTTGTTGTTGTTGTTGTTGTTGTTGTATCCATTAACGTCGGGCGGGTATCTAAAACGCAATGTTTGGACCTTGGGGACCTCCCATGGGGTACGGCGACGTGCTAAGTAGAGGAAAAACCCTTTGAAAGCAATTCATAATGCTGTGCGTCGAGTTTTCTCTCGACAACTATCGAATACGTGTGGCCTTACGGGCGGCCTCGATCCGTATAATACAAACATCGTTCTCTTTTATCGTAAAGCTAAAAAGGCTGGCGTTCGTAGCCTTTACATAAGCCGGTATGTTTGCAGAACGCTCTTTCGAAGGCGCAATACCGTGTTTTCGATAAATCGAACTAAGCCTTTCTTATCTTATCTTTTATATCCGTTTTTCTTTTATCGCAAATCTTCTTAGTCTTTTTAATCGGTATGCCCGTTAAGTATAAATCGTAGTCGGCGTAATATTCGAGAAAAAGAGATGGGAGGTTCGGAATCGCCGATAAAAGAAGATCTCGTCGAAGAGACATCGTATATACGTAGTAGATGATTCAATTTCGGCTTTCCAGATTCTTTATCTCTCTTTCTACCGCAAGAAAAAAAAAAGAAAAAGAGCTGAAGGTTCGTAAGAAGCACCTCGTACAAGTCAAGAATCGTAGCCCCCCAATATCAAGCAATGATTGATGCACAAAGAGGACTTACAA